AGGTTGGTGGTTGACCTACCCCTCTGAAAAATATGAAAGTCAATGGGAAGGATTATCCCATATATCATGGAAAATATAAAAAATGTTCCAAACCACCAACCAGTATACAAAAAAAAAACTGTAATCCCATGATTACTAGCCATCTCATAATCCCATATTTGTAAAATATCATAAATCTCTAACTCATGGATTGCTGACCATCCCCCAACCAGATCAGTTGGGATTCGGATTGCCATGCCTTGCCCTTGAACTCGCCATTGCTGAAGGAAGTTCGGGCCTCTGGCCAGTCCTCAGCCATCCATGATCTATCTGGCCATCTGTCGTTCAATCGATCATCCATGAGTCAATGATGCTATATGGTTCTGTATGAATCTAAATGATTCTTGATGATTCTTGTAATTTTTACGTATGATTCAATGTATGTTTATCATTGTTTATCTGTGATTCTATGTGATTCATTAATGCTTCCATGATCCTTCTACCTGCATCGCCACATCCACCTTCCAGGGGATCAGCAGATGGCAGCCGTCTGCTTCGAGCCAAGTCTCTGAACAACGCAGACCAGGGAAGTCAGTCTGGATCTTCTGACATGCCTCGCCAAGGGAGACTCGGAGAGGCCGGTAGCACTGGTAGCACTGCGCAAAATAATGATGATTGGTTCATTAAGATTGATTAAGAGCGGAATTGAATCCCCATGCAACCAGGTATGTAGCTCAAGCCTATGTAAAATGATGCGACTGCACTTGGCAATCAACCGATGAGGGATTCTCTGGTGCTGATGACATGCAAAATGCTACCTTCAGCAGCAGGCTAGTACAAACACCGCAGCCTCTGTGCACCACTCATAGGTGCACTCGGTGCACATGAAAGACTTGCACATCCTGCGGGAGTCGGATTAAATCCCCGGTCATGATGCCAATGATGTCCCCCGTTATGCTGCCAGTTCAAAAGTGAAGGAAGACCTGTCCCCCGATTGCAAGCATAAGAACCTATAATGAGACTGAAACCTAGCTAGACATTGTTATCTCTTGATGTATCTTGATATATCTTTGATGTAGCATCACTGTGCCATAGCTAGCAATCGAGGTGAGGTCGCTGGGCCCCCAGGCATAATGTCAAAGCGGCACTGACCATCACAAGGACTCGCATCCGCCGACATGTCGTCTTCCAGGTTCACCAACTGGCCGTCCTCAAGGTGATGCGAGCCATCAACTGATCATTTTGGATGTCAGGTCATGAATTGTTTGAAGCGACTGTCATCATGTTCTAAAAAAGGGGGTAGTTGGTTCATGGCTCAGGTTGCGGAAATCCCCAAGGTCATGGTTTTCAGTCACTTGAGAGTTTCTCAACCTCAACATTCCCAAGTTCCAGATTTAAAAAAGAGAACAAACACAACATGTTTTTTCAGTACAAACACAAGTGCTTTCGCCAAAAAGCATCAAAAAGCAACAAGTGTCATACTGTTGGTCAGACCATAAACCACCCCAAATAAATTGCTGGTTTATATCATGTTTATACCACCTATAACCACCTATAAAAATGGCCAATTTGGGGATGCCTAGCGCATCCCTTCCCATCCTGATTGCGTAGCACGGCAATGGCCCAGGCCGTAGGCAAAAGGCCAAGGCCCCAAGCAATCACTGCCTGAAGCGGGTGGATCGACCGAAAAAATGGAGGATTTTAAATTTTACATGGTATTTTGTCACAATTCCATTTGAGGATTGGTCCAAAATTCCATTTTTACATGGTAATTTTATTAATTGGGAAGTCGATGATTTTCCAAGTCTATGAGTTTCCTATCTACCAGCTATTCTGTTGTAAACAACACAGTACGATGCCAGGGTTTTGCATATAGCCAGCTCCCACTTGAAGAATCGCAATCAAAAGCAGGAGCAAGAGCAAGAATCGCAAAAACCATCGTTCGAATGGTTAAAGCAGGTTATGGCTGAAACACTGAAAAGAATTGAAAAGAGTCAAACCATGGGCCATCAAGTAATGGGTATCAAGTTTCTAAGATTGTTGAATGGGAGATGAATATGGCTACAGGTCAAAATTAATTACCCTAATAATTAATTGGATGGCTTAGTTACTAAACATATACTGAAATCTGTCCCTGCAGGGGCTTCAATTTTGACTCATTCCTCGACCTGCCTTCATTGTGCCGGGGCGTGCAGCTCTCCGTCCCAGCCGAGCTGTGCGAGCTGTCCGCTGTGCGAGCCAGCTGCGGCAGGTTCTGTTGATTTTTCTTTCGCAGGTTGCCTGCCTTCAATAGTGATAAATGCATATAAAGGCCATTAAATGCCAATGAAAATTGATAGCCCCCCTATAACGATGTTGACAAACTACAATGCTTGGCCTCTGTTTTGTTGCTGGGCATCTGATGCAAACCCCTGTCACACCGATCCACAAGACTTCCTGGAGTCTTGACGTGCAGTTATGGGAAGAGGGAGCGATTGAGTTGATAATTGGGGATGGGTCAAAACCCTATCCCCCTGGTGAA